TTTATGTATCTTTCCTGGACCAACGTCCATTCCGATTCTTCACCCATTTTTAACTTGGGTCATTTGTCATTTCATTATTGAGCTGTAAGAGTTCTTTATATATTCTAGATATAAGTCCTTTATCAGATACATGATTTTCAAATATCCCTCCCATTCTGTGGGTTGTCTTTTCACTTTGTTGATGGTGTCCTTTGAAACACAAGGTTTTTAATTTCCATGATGTCCACTTAACCTAATTTTGTTTTGTTGGTCTTACTTGGGTTTTATACCTAAGAATCTTCTGCCAAATCCAAGTTTATGAAGACTTACCCTGATGTCCCTTAAGCATCTGCTCTCTAGCAGGCTTCCTCCTGCCTTTTCCTCTCTCTCTCTCTCTCTCTCTCCCCACTGAACAAAGACATTCTTTTTCTAGTGCCTAGCCCTCTTCCAGAAGAGCCTGCTATAATTCTACCAACGTTCCCTCTCAATGGTCCTCTCCCGCCAGCTCGCCATCATCATCTTTCCCTGGCTTGTCTTGTCTGGTGCGGCCTCACCCTGTGCCTTGAATCACCAAACTCCACTGCTTAGAAGAGCTTGCCTGTCCAACTCCATCCTCATTTATGATGATTCCCCCAACCCCCGCAAGACTTAGCTGTTCTTACTGCATGTTTTGGTCCACTTTCCCCAGGTCCATCAGACATATCTATATGTCTGAACCCCAATAGTGAAAAGGTACCAGGGTCTTGTCTGTGAGGCCCCTGGCCGAGGCAGAGCAAGGACGTGGAGCGTGTCTCTGCGAGCCCCAAGCGTGTGGCTAAGTTTCAGGTTTGGATACTGAGTGCACGGAGGAGCTCTGGTGCAAGTGCATGGGAGGCCCCTCACTTCCAAGCCAGGTACAGGGAGGGAAAATGGAGAGGAGGGAATGGGATATAGAAACGAAGGCTCAGAGCCAAAACGGTAACAGAAGATAAGGGTGGCTCTGATGCTTTCCTGAGCGTTACTCAGAAAATGGGAGGCCCTAGTGAACTTTCCCTGGGTAGCAAGTGGCTGTGCCATTTTTTGGAGTGATGTGCAAGGACATCAAGGCTCAGTGAGCCCATTGCCTTGAGGTCGCCATGAGCCAATAGGTGACGCCACACCCATGCCCTTCCCGCCACCCTGCTGCTCCCAACTGACCTCTGCTGTCCGCCTCTGAGCTATCTGTGACTATGGACACCACATACGTAACATGCTGTCAACAAGGGCCCTGATACTAATTATACAGGGAAGCAGGCAGAGACCAGGACCTTCCCTGGCAAATAAGACGGTCACAGAGCCCGAGGGAGAGGCTGGTCAAGCACTGCCCGGCAGAAGCATTGTCCAGGCAAAGGAAGGGCAGTTCGGGCACTGACATGGATGCCCTGGAGGGGGGCCCACGTGCCGCCGCAGTGTGATGCTGGGGTCCTGGGAAAGCACAGGGGGCACCACTCACTGTCCAGATCCGAAGACACAGGAAGGCTGCACCTTGGACGCTGTCAGGGATCCGAACAATGTCTGTGGCTCATGCTCTTTAGAGCTGGGTCTCCCTTCCTGCTGCGCTAGCTGTTTGGCCTGTGCAGTGGTGGCCTCTGTTTCCTGGCGCGAGGCCCCACTTGCCCGGCCCGGAGAGAGCGGGCAAGTGCATGCCAACTCCAGGCACCTGGGACTGCAAGTTCACGCTGACCTTGAAGTCTGTCTTCCCCACCTGTCCACCCAGTCAGCCTCATGGAGCTGACAGCGGGTCAGGGATACCTGGTGCCTGCACAGTGTGGACAAGGGAAGGGGCAGAAGCAGTGGGTGTTTTTCTAGCCTCATGCTGGCGTCCCCCCAGCCTCAGTTCTGGGGACCCCAAGACAAATCACGCTCCCAAGGGGGAGGACACATATATCAAGAAATGACTGCGAGGATGATTGTGGAGACATAGCTGCGGGCGTTCCTCGCCTGCCTGCCATGTGCTGTGTGCTTCTGGCGCTTTTATTAGCTGCTCCCTTCTGCGTAATTATCTTCCTTGGATGCACGCGTCTCGGTGTGGGGCTCGTTGATGTGGTGAACGTCACGCTGGGCATTCGCTGTGCTGCTTGCTTTTCCACTCAGCACTAGGTTCTAACAGCTAGACATGCTGCTGCACACGGGCCACAGGCTTTTTATTGGCTCTACGTTATTCCCCCAAACGCATGTACTGCCCTTTAGTCAGCTGTTCGCCCACCCATGGGGTTTGGTCCCTCACATCCCAGGGGTGAGGGGCGGGACGGGAGGCTGCACTGTCAGTTAGGGGCGGGCATTGCCCTGGGCAGAGGGAGAGGCTGAGGGCGACGCAGCTGTAGCAGGGGCCTCGGCCAATTCCAGGGAGCTCTGGAGCAGGAAGGGCCCTTCAGAATTCCCCTGAATTGAAGCCAGAGGCCTTTCCGCTTATAAAGGTTGGGGTATAAATGTCTGTTCTCATGCCTGGTCTGGGGGTGCCCCAGCCTCCCTCCTGGCTGTCCTCGCAGTCCCTCCTCTCCACTCGCATCCCGCTGTCCCTCTGTGTGGCCTGTGGCTTCTGCTCGCTGTCCCCGAGCCTCTCTCTCCGCTGCTCCGGTCAGGACAGCAGGTCATACGAGGGCTCAGGACAGCCCAGTCTTGCCAAGCCATCACTTTGCTGTGTGCGATGATGGCAATGCCACTGCTCTCACGTGACAAACAGCAACAGGGTTAGGAAACCACCCTGCAGGTGACAGGTGGTCCTCAGGCCCAGGGCAGGTGCTACACGGCAGGGACCACAGGGTGGCGCTGTTGCCTTTCCATCTGTGATGGGGTGACCTGCAAAAGGAAACCGTGAAGATGCGGCCAGAGCACACTTCTGGGGCTGCTCCTTGCATGTCCTATGTCCTGTCCCTGCACGGTCGCTCACGCCAGTCTGTCCTGAGCCACAGGCCGTGTCGGCCCTCCAGGATCGACAGAGACCAGAGGCTCTCGGGCCTTGTCCCCGGGGGACTTGCTGCCTCAGGAGGCTCAAGATGAGAGGCTGTCAGGTGTCCATCCCAGGCCAGTGACAGCTGTGACAGAGGCACTGGTGTTCCTCAGAGCCAGGAATATCAGGCCCAGAGGGTTGGGAAAGGTCCCAAGGGGTGACACCAGAGCAGGGTCCCAGCAGGTGGACTTGGGCTGTGGAGTGGGGGTGGGGTGGCTCAGCCAGTCACCTGAAGGCCAAGAACAGGGTGATTCTTGAGGGCATTTGGCTGGCGCTGGGCAGCTGAGCAGGGACATAGTGGAGTGGATGCTGGAACTGTGTGGCCCAGCATGCCAGGTGAAGGTGATGCAGGGCCAGATGTGTGTCTTAGCCTTTCTCCCCTGACACGTGTGGGGGGATGAAGATGGCACGGTGGCTAATTATCCTTGGTCTCTTACAAATATCTGCATTCATGCTCATGCCCATGCCCGCATAGTCACACATGCCCTTACACAGACATGTCCATCCCCCTCACATGGCAGCACCTCTCCATCCCCTCCCCTTCGCCCACCCACTGAAAGAAGGGCCTGTAGGCAGGGGTGGGCAGGGTGTGGGGCTGAGGGACCATCGGGCCCAGGTCTTATATCCACAAAAGGCCACAGATTAGACGTTTGGCTTTATTTCCAAGTAAAACTTTGATGCAGGCGTGGAAACACGCCATGGGGACAGGAAGACACCCACCACCCATCTTTATGGCTGAGCACATTGTCGTACCAGGAATTCGTGTTTTCTAAAACTCTAGTAATCAAACAATGATGTTTCATTGCAATTTTATGTTAAAGCTGTTCATTGGCTCCATGTAAACATTCAGCACAAACCTTTTTTTTGGTAACATACTGGGAGTTTCCACCAGTGGGCATGGCCCAGGTCTTTCTAGGCCTCTGCTGGGCTTGGCCCTGGCCAGTGGTCAGAAGGGCGATGGAGGGAATCTTCACCACTTCTAGACTCTTTCTGACCCCGTCCTATTCCATGTGTGTCTCGAGTCAGAGGAGGAGGAAAAACAGAGGAAACAGAAACCGTGTCCTCCTGGGTCAGTGAGGGCTGGCGCAGCCCACGCCCAGACCACGGCCTAGATCACTGCTCCGGAAGCCAGATGCAGCACAGCCTGTGTGGGGAGCTGGTTATGCTGAGCGAGGAGCTGAGATGCAGGCCAGAGGCCCCGGCCATTAGGGTGACTGTGTCTGCCCCTCCCAAACCACCACACGGCCTGAATGCACGGGCAGCAAGTGGCCCGTGAGAACTGCTGGCCATACAAGCACTGTGCACACTGTGGCCGAGTGCCCCTGCCCCGCTCTCTCCCCTGCACTTGGTTTAGGCACACCTTCCCAGTGACTCTGGGGTGATGTTAAAAAGCACTGGCCACTGCGTCAGCACCGGCACGGAGCAGCCAGAACATGTCCTGGATATAACTGGCAAACCAGTCCCACTGGCGAATACTGGCCAGTCTCAGCCCAATGGCCCACGCTCCCCACCTCCCAGCATCTAACTGACCTGTAGCTACAAGGTGACCTGCCACACTGTGATGGGGCACCTGGGAGGGTCCTAGGCATGGGTGATAGATCGCCCTATGGAAACCTATGAGGTGGAGTCAGATGACTGATGGGTGCCACTTGACCTATCTGAGTTTGGGGTTCTGCGGATATAAGTTAGGGGTCAAAACGCCTGTCTCACTGGGTTGTGGGGATGTGAAATGACTGGTGTAAGCACATGGTCCATTTCTTCCCCTCACACGCCCCGAGGTTATTGGAATAAGCCCCAGTCCCTTCCACCCCTCTAATTTCTCTAAATCTCTACACATCACCTACCTGTCTAGACTCCTGTGGCTCACCTTGCTCAGTGTTCTGCTGACTCTGGATTATTTTTTTTTTCTTGTTCCCCTGTTGTCATCTCCCTTTCCACCCCAACAACCCTTACATCCATCATCCGCCCCCTGCACTTCCGCTAATGGGGATCAAGCCTCCAACACAGGCATGTGCCCTGGCCGGGCATCGAACTGGTTACTTCTTGGCTGGATTATTTTTTTTTTTCTTGTTCCCCTGTTGTCATCTCCCTTTCCACCCCAACAACCCTTTCGGGTGGCCCTGTTCTCTCCAGGCCCTTACCTCCCTGCCATTGCCTCCCCTGCGTGAAACCCAGCGGTGTGTGGGGGGCGGCCCTGAGAGGGAGAGCAGGCTCTACCTGGAGGGTGTGACAGTTCCCTTTCCTTCTCCAGGCTGGAATGCAAATGGACCTCATCCCTGTCGCAGGACCGCTCCTTACGCCCCTCCAACCTGGTCTCCCTGCCCGCAGGCGGCACTACCTGCACCCACACTCTGCCACACTCATCCCTTCATAGTGGTACTTGAGGGTGGGGACCCCCATGTCATCCTTGTAGAGGATGGAGATGGGGCTCAGTTTGGTGGGCACACAGCAAGCCTTGCCCACCTTCATGGGGAACTTGAGGTGAACCAGGGTCTGCACAATGGCGTGCTTGGTCGGGGTCACGTCATCGGCCAGCGGGAAGAAGCAGCCCCCCTTACACTCGTAGGCATCGTACTCCTTGGGCGCGATGATCCAGCTGTCCCAGCCGATGTCCTCGAAGTTCACTCGCAGGGAGGTCTTCTGACAGTGGTTGTTGGCCCCAGCGCTCCTCTTCCGTCTGGCTAAGGATGACCCCGTGGCCATGTGGCTTCCCACGCCCCCCTCGCCCTTGCTCCCCCCCGCCTCTGGGCTGTGGGTGGACAACTTCTTCAGCACACTCTCCTGCTCGTGGCCGATCATCTCCCTGAGCTCCAGCCGGGTCTCCTTGGTCCCATTGGTGCGGTCATTGGAGAAGACGACGAAGAAGGGCAGGTTCCTGGAGCCGGGGGGGACGCTGATATCCAGCTTGTGGCAGCCTTTCCTGTGACTCCGCACTGCCACTTCCAGTTTATTTTTGCTCTTGGTGGAGTCGGCCCTGACCCACCGCTTGACAGCCCTGGAGATCTCGAAGGTTGCCCAGCCCTCGTCCCGGATGTCCTGGGACAGCAGGAAGGCCTTGGTTCCTGCAGAAGCGTCCCCTGTGTCCGCTCCACCCAGAACATCATAAATGGCTACGTTTCCCTTCAGCTCATGAGACGGGCGCTCGTGGCTTTGGCAGGAGCTGTAGAGCCGGAGTTCTGCCCTGGTGATCTGCTCATGCCTGGGGATGGAGATGTTGAAAAGCAAGATGTGTTTCTGGAAGGGGAAGTCCTCTGTGGCAGCTACAGAGACAGCATCTGAAATGCAAATACACAGTGATGGGCACCTGCTGGGAGGGTCTGGCTCATGACACCAAGCTGAGCACATGGCTCCCATGAAAGGGCACCTGGGATGACATTGTCAAATCTCTATTTGGCTTCACTTAAGCCCTTAATGTAGAAGAGGTGTCTGAAAGGTGCACTTAGAATTGTGCAAAGAAAAGCAGATGCAGGAGATGCTGGCATGGGAGGGAACAGGCCCAGGTTCCACCAGGTGCCCCACAGTGCAGGAGGGACTTTGCACATACATTTCACATAACTCCTACAAGGATCTATTGTTATTTCAGTTTTACAGAAGTGGGAGTGGGTTTCGGATGTTTAACATCCAAAGTGCTCACATTCTGCAAAGATCCTCATTTTTTAAAAAAGAGATGGATACAATAAAACTGTCATCTTCTGAGAGCTGATCCTGAGTGTATGATTTTAAACAATGGTGCATGTAACTTAGCCGACACTGTCCTGGCGCATACTAGATGCCCAGTCAATATTTCTGTGTCCTCCCCAGGCTCTCTGCCCCACCGGCGCATGCCCTGCCCCCCAAGCACTTGGCCTTTCGCACAGTTCTCTGTGGTCCCCTCACAGCTGTTTGAATCCCTGCAGAACCCGCTGAGGTGCTTTTATCGAGTAATGTGGGGTCTGTGCGCAGTGCGCTAGGGGCCTTGTGTGCTCCTGCCTTGATAGTGGCTGTGGGCTGCAGTCACAGGTCTCAAAGCAAATGCCCTCCTCCCTGTCTGTGAAGGCTGTGAAGGGCAGCATGCGTGGCCTCCACAGGAGTGCTGGCCACCAGCAGAGCTGGGGCCGTCAGAGCGCTTGTTTCCAGGGCACGGATATGCTGAGGGTGGGGTGAGGTGGCCCTAAGATGACTCTAAGCGCTGGACTCCCAGACTGTGGGATTCAATGGTTAGGTCTTGCCAAAGAAGCCCTAAAACAGAGGACACAGATGTACCCTGGGGGCCTGGTGAGATGCTGGCCGATTGCAGTAACAAAATAAAGCCAGTGTTTTAAAAATCAAGCAAGTTCACATAAAATCTAGATTTTCCTTTTGGGCAGTCAGGAAATCGGGCACTGCTGGGCATTCATTGTGAGCACAGCGCCCTCGAGGGGGGCCTGGCGGCTGTGGCATGAGCAAGGCCTGCAGGAGCCTCCGGGCTCCAGCCCAGGGCGGAGAAGAGAGGCCCGCGCCACACCACACCACACCACGTGGGGTGTTCAGAGGGAGGATGCCGCAGCAGGAGACCCGCTGCACGCAGGGGGCCTGAGGCACAGTGCAGCTGCTGACCAATAGGGTGTGGCAGTTCCCTCGGCATCTGAAAGCCTCGCCCTCGTGCTCAGTCATCTCACTTGCGTTGATTGTGTGAATTAGTGCACATAAGCCTTGAGTCGGCGTTTGTCCTCTTCCAGTCCTCCCAAATCAGGGCCATTCTTATATACTTAGAAAATAATTAAGTAGTCCTCCAGTGTTAATCTCTCAGGGGCATTAATATGAATTTTTTATACCTTTTCATGAGAGAGATGTTCTCTCAAAGTTTAAAAATATATCAGGTTGGAGGCCCAATGTGCAGTCTGTTTCTTGGTGGGAAGGGGCCAGTGGGAAGGGGGGAAACGGAGAGAGGGAGGGGGCAAGGGCGCAGCCATGCTCTCAGCTCCCACTGAGCCCAGGAGCCAAGGCCCAGGGTGGCTCCCCCAGGGCACAGCTGCCTGGGGCAGGCCCTGCGGCTCAGCTGCTAGGTCCTGCAGGGTATCCATTAGCCACACTCCGCTGCCCGGCACTTGAATCGAAGCTGGTGAAACTAAACAACTAAGTTACCCATTTCATTTCATTTTAATGAATTTAATAGAAACTTAAAGAGCCTCCTGTGGCCAGTGGCCACCATAGCGGGCAGTGCAGCTGTGGGTACTATGTCCCCTGACCCCCGACCCTCAGGGCCCTGGGGGAGCAGACCCTACCTTCCATGCTGAAGCTGCGCACGATGTTGGACGCAGGGGTGGACGACTTGTCGGTGGTGTATCTGTTGTACAGATCGATCATGTACTGCGGCGGCTCTGCTTGGGTTTTGTCCTGGGCCGGGACTCCGCTCAGGTTGAGGCTGCGTAGGAAATCCACCTTCATGTTCTCCAGGAACATCCTCAGGTCGAAGGTGCCTCCCTCCTGTTCACCGCCCGTTGCCGCTGGCAGCCGGGCATCTCCCCTGGCCAACGCCCGCGCCCGGGTCTCCAGAGGCTTCCCCTGCCCAGAGCAGGCCAGCAGGGAGAGCACCGGCAGGGCCACCCACAGCGCCCCGAGGCACATCTTGGGACAGCACGGGGGTCCCCTGGACGGGAGACGGCCACTGGCCACCTCGTGTTAGCGGGTGTGGGCAGGAGCCCGGGAAGAGCAGGCCCTCATCGTCCTGCCGGCCACTCTGCACACAGCGCCCGGCCAGTTCCCAGGCTCCCTGCCGCCCGAGCGTCCTCCGCTCTTCTTATCGGCCCTCGCTGCCTGCTCCCACCTCTTATCTGAGGCAGCGCTAAGCTAATGAAGGCTCTGTAAACATCTGACAACACACAGGCTGTGGGAAGAGCACGGTCAGCTGCAGAGAACCCGGATTTCTCCGGGGTTATCACCCCCTAATTAGGATCGTTCTCATTTCCTTGCCAGTTCTGTTCAAAAGAATCTCAAGACAGGGTGACTTGTGCTCTATCTCCTGGGCCACAGGAGCAAGGGACCCAGGAAACAAACACGACAAGAAGGCCTCCAAATATAGAAGCAACACAACCCCCGGAGCCCCTGCAGACTCCGGCTGAGTGGGTGCTGGGTACGGCCGTGGCGGGGTGAGTGGGGGGCCTGCTCCCTGTGGAGGCAGGCCAGCAGGTGTGGCTCAGCACGTCCCGCCTCGGGGCTTGTCTGTCATGCTGGTTCCCGGGCATTGGAGGCCACGCAAGCTGGTGGCACGTGTTTCGGTGATGCGAGGAGACGTCAGGCGAGATGAGGACTCAGGCCCAGCTCCTGCCTCATTCCCACAGCAGGACCCGGAGCGAGGCTCTCAGTGTCCTCAGCGTCCGGCTAAGAGAAGAGTCGCCGGAGATGGATGCGCACGTGCTGGAGCCCACGCAGCCCCTGCACACCCTGGTCCGCGGCAGGGCTGCTTTCTGCCTGTCGCTTTGTCCAGGTCTGACTTTGCTGGGAGCTGAGGAGGAAGCCCTGTGCCTCCCAGCCTGCTCCCCAAGGCTGGCCACCAGGGACCCCCAAAAGCTCTGTCACTGGCCTTGTGTGTGTGTCTTTGCTCATGTCAGAGAGTGGCGCCTGGACCACATTCCTCATCCAGGGGAACCGAACCGTGTGGTCTGGGAGACACACGGGAGAGTGGAGCTCTGAGCTGGTGCGTGGCAGGGAGGGCCCTGCCTGAGGAAGCTGAGCAGCCACAGCCCACAGCCTCCAGGCAGGCCCCAGGGTCTGTGCTATTTTAAGAGCATCATGCCCACACTTAAACTGTCCATTTCCATCAGGTGTGGGTTTGAGCAAAGCAAAGAATGAGCCTCGCTAAAAAACCTCAGGGGTCTACCTTGAGGAGCACTGGCGGTGTTTCCACAGCCACAAGGTGCTCCTGGGAGGGTGGCTGCGCTGAGCAGCCTCCAGAGATGGAGGAGGGGCTGTGGCAGGTTGAGGTCAGAGGTCCAGTACAGGTTAACACCAGGAGCCTGCTAGCCAGGCCTGGGCAGGACTGCTGTCCCTATCCCTTGGGGCCCTGCCAGGGGAGGGTAGAGGGAAAGGGTGTCACTCAGGACAGCTGCTTGGAAAAGGGGCAGGAAGCCTCCTGGGCCTGGGCTAGCTCAAGGCAATGGCTAACTCCTGCACTGAGGGAGGGGCAGGAGGCCGGGGAGTGCTGTCGCCAGAGGA